CAATTGAAAAAAGGGTTCAGTGTGAAACCCAAGCTGAGACCTTTCTTTCTCTCAACCCCATAAGTTTCACATAAGAGTGTCCCAGAGGTGCATCCTAGTTTCAGAATGGTGGATTTCAGCAGTCTCCAGATTAAGTGTGCCATGGTCAGATGATCGGGTGTGGGGTGTGCTAAGCCCTAAGAGGGAAACCTGAGGCAAAAGTCAGTAAGTTTTCCCTTAGTTATTTAGTTTAATTTTCTGATGTTCTTATCTTATTTTATTGCCTAACACTTGTTAGTTTATTTTCAGCTTGAGTAAACTTTAGTTTGGCAGTAAGGTTTAAAGATCCTTGATTGTAGTAGGGTTATTTTTATTGTATTTGTGGCATCTATAAGTAGAATTTCCAGCAATTAATAAAGAACAAAAAGAAATTTTTTAATTTACCATTCGAATTCTATATAGCCACTTCTTCCCCCCAGCCATTCAAGGCACCACGTTGAGCTGGCATCTCTCATGAAAGAGAAGCCAGAGATCACAATATTTGCAAAGATCATAATGTCTTAGTGAAGGTTCTAACAGTGAAGAACTCATTGCACCCCAACTCCACTCCATGAGCTCCACTCCCATCATTGGTAGGTAGACCTCCTCCAAGTAACTCATCAAACCACAAAAAATCGTTTACCTCCATGACCTTAGATTTCTATGGTAATGAGGGAGCCAAGCCATTCTATCCATATCTCACTCAAAGATATCCTTACGTAGCACTTAAACAAGTTTGCCTTTTCTACAATTCTGCTAGTAAAAATACCAATGGGATAGAAACTTGACGTTTCTAAAAATTGCATCCATGTAAGGTGGCCTACCCTTTTTCTTAAGCTATGCCAATGTATAACTCATCAAGCCACAAAATATCCTCCTTCATGACCTTAGATTTCTACAATAGCGAGGGGCCCATACCACTCTATGCATATCGCACTCAAGGAGATCCCTAACTAGCAATTAAACAAGATAAACTTTTCTACAAGTCTACTAGTAAAAACACCAATGGCATAGAGACTTGACTTCTATAGAAATTATATCTGTGTTAGGTGCCTTCCTTTTTGCTTAAACTGTATCAATGTATGTTCCATATAGTGTGCCCATGACATTTTAAAACAGCATATGCTACCAGTTACCATACTAGGACCTAGGCCTAGGAAGGGCCAAGGTTGGCCTAGGACACTAGAGCCCAAATTGGGATCAAGGACTATGGCCCTGCCCAACCCAATCCTATTATTTGACAGGAACAGGGCCTTTTTTAATTATTTAGGACATCTTGGAAAATGAATAAAAAATTTTAAAGAATCAATTGGATGGGATTTGAACTAGAGTGAAGGTGACAAGAATGCATCTAGACTAACCATTAAAGCTCCTACATACTAGCTGCATATTACTTTACTTCTATACATATACATTTTACAATCTCTCTCTCATTCGTACACATAAAACCCAATCTCCCTCTCCTAACCCTCAAACCTAGCACTCTCTTTCTCTCTCTAACACAAAACTTCTCTCCCATAAAACCCAATCTCCCTCTCCCAACCCAAATAGTACATGCCTCTCTATGCAAGACAGCCAACTATTCTCACTCCACACAAAGCCAACAAATCTCTCTCTCTCTCTC